CAGAGTTTTTGATGACAAAGAAAATTTTTCGGTTTTAGATTTCTAGATATTATGACAATTTTCGTTTTTTTAAATGGAAACAACCACTGATTATTCGCTTATTAAATTCGTTATTTTTTTCTGATTACATAAATATAGGGTTATATAGGTCTATTTCTTATTGTTTTAGAATAAAGCTAAAAATAAAATTTTTTTTAGTGTCGTCAAAGAAATTAAATTTACAGTTTCCTGTAAATTATGGTACTATAACTAAAAATTATTCTACTAAAAATTTATATAAAATTTACTTTATTTTCTAATATGTAACATTCTAACATGTTAAACCTTTCGTAATTTTCGTAATCCATAAAAAAAAAACGGAATTTTTAATTTGACACTTCAGAAAATTTTTGAATACAAACAAATGTTGCTATGTTTATTTGAATTTAAAAAAAATAAATGAGTGCAAGTCATTTAATAATAATATTAAATATTAATAAAAAATGTGAAATAATGCAATCTATTTCAACTTTTGTGTAAAACAAATATAAATTAAATAGTTCAACAAATGTATTTATTTCAAATATCAGAAATACGTTTTTTTTTAATTTTTAGTTATAATTTACAGGAAACTGTAAATTTAATTTCTTTGACGACAGTAAAAAAAAAGTTTATTTTTAGCTTTATTCTAAAACAATAAGAAATAAACCTGTCAAACCCTATATTTTTGTAATCAGAAAAAAATAACGAATTTAATAAGCGAATAATCAGTGGTTGTTTAAAAAAACGAAAATTGTCATGATATATCATAATCTAAAACCGAAAAATTTTTTTTGACTACGTCATGAAATTCTCTGTACAAAAGTGTCCATATAATGTCTTAGTTATAATACTCCACCTATAATAATAACCAAGATAATTGCACTTGTTGGTTTTACGATATTTTCAATTTTGGCCTCTAGGGGAAAAACAAAAGACGATAGCGCTTTGAGGTTTTCAGCATTAGCAGTTTCTCAAAAAACGAGATCATGACATGTAGCTACATTTTTTCTAACTCTTATAGTTTCCGAGTTAGCCTATTCGGACATCGAATTTGAACCAACCTGTACAAGCACGACATATTTATCTTCAATATTAACGAAGAACTTCCGGTTAAGAATGTCAACGTCAATTTTGACATATTTGTAATCGCCGTAAAAAAATCCTTTAAAATGAGTCCAAACATGATACGTTTAATTCTAATATTACTCGAGATACTATAAACAACTTCCGATTTGAAATGTCAGTCATTTTGACATATTCTTAATTTTTATAAAATGTCTTAATATTTGTCACAAAAACAAAAATATAATAAAAAAAATTAAAAAATTAAGGTTGGTATTAATATTTAAGAATGAAGTTGCTATCTTCATTGTTGCTAACTTCGGGTTTAATGTTTTTTATTCTAACTTTTTTGTTTTTTGAGATAAGTGATAAATCTTTGGACTTATTTTAAAGGTTTTTTAATAAAGATGACAAATATGTCATGTTTGGACTCACTTTAAAAGTTATTTAGGAAGATTACGAATATAATAATAAAATTAAAGCTGACATTGACAACTAAAAATTTTTATCACGACTAAACCCGAATGTTTCTAGTTCTCGTTCTAGTTTTAGTTCAATAAGAATATACAACATAGTAATATCTTATGGTTATATTTTTGAATGGATTTGATTAACTTATATAAAAACAAATGTAGAATAAAAGATTTTATCGCAAATTTATTGAATAATCTTTTATCGTTTACCTTTATATCTTTCGCGTATAACGTGAAATTGATTTGTGCGCTCAGGTTAACCAAAATCTGCCAACCGGAGGTCTAAAATCGTTCCCGGTAATCCGACTTTGATATGAATCGATGTCTCCGGTAATCGTATGATTCCGAGCTTTGAATTTGTATCGACTCGTTGACGCGATATTCCCATCTCTGTACATATCGAGCGAATCCCGATTCAAAATGAGAGCAAGCACATTCCCATCCATTCAATTCTAATTATAGAAATCCTTTGTAAAGTTTCATACAAAAGGATTTTGTTTTGAGAATGTTACAAAAGGTAAATTTTCTTCGATATTGACGAAAAAAATGTTGTGTTAAAATATATTTTTTTTATAGGAGTGATAAATTATAAATCAATAGAGTCGTTTTGTGGAAAATATCTGGCAGAAAAGACAGGGTCTCATGGAAAAATAACAGTAAAAATCTCTGCGGCAACAGAAACTTCCAACTTTTATAAATAGCGGTTCATATTTCAACTTTGCCCCCCTTCTCTACGTTCCCACTTTTAGCACTGAACTTTACGTTTACAGAGAGAGACCTCAACTTTTCGTGATTCCGCGGCCGTCACCCGAGGTGTCAGACCGGCGAAGACCCATCAGGATATTTCCATATCTTATCGCGTTTTCTTGCCCTGAAACCCTCAACCAAAACATGCACTTTACCCGAAAGCAATTTCCCGGTTGGCTCCATTTTCCCAACAAGCAGTACTCATTTCACGCCAATTATGAAAACCCCTCGAGATAACCGTTCTTCGGCACGTATTTGGTAACGTTTTTCTTTTTTAAATCGGTAATTTATTCATTTATTCATCAAGACATCTCCTCGGGTTTAGCGAGGTGTCTAATAAAAGAAATTGGGTGTCCGATGGATGTATTGGGACTTGCTACAATAGATTGATAAACCTTCCTTCAGCCTACGAATAATTCACGGGAGGCTGTTACTCCAAGCTAAAAAAAATCCGATTTGGTGGAAAAGGAAAAGGTCAACTGATGTTATTTATGTTGAAGTGTCCTTCAATGTGGTACGAAAGGGAATTTTCTTTTTACTTGATAAATTATATCTATCTAAACCAATCGCATCAAACAAATCGTTGTGACAAATAAACCCGAATCATTCTAGTTGTAGGTCTAGTGTTAGTTCTAGTTTTATTTCAATAAAAATAATCAATACCCTGACCTTAAATAACTAGCAAAACTAGTACTAATACTGACACAATCACTAGAACTAAGGTTAGAACTAGAACTAATAACATTCTAGTTCCTTTAAAACTTACAAGTGTCAAAACTTGTTAGTGTTAAACTAGAACTAACACTAGACCTAGAACTAGAAACATTCTGGTTTAGCCGCACGTCTTTCAAGACGGCTAAACCCGAATGATTCTGGTTCTAGTTCTTGTGTTAGTTCTAGTTATAGTGTTAGTAAAAACTAGAAAAAAAATAAAATAAAATTCGTTATTTTTTTCTGATTACAAAAATCTAGGGTTGGACAGGTCTATTTCTTATTGTTTTAGAATAAAGCTAAAAATAAACTTTTTTTTTGTGTCGTCAAAGAAATTAAATTTACAGCTTCCTGTAATTATAACTAAAAATTAAAAAACATATTTCTGATATTTGAAACAAATACATTTGTTGAACTATTTAATTTATATTTGTTTTACACAAAAGTTGGAATAGATTGCATTATTTCACATTTTTTATTAATATTTAATATTATTATTAAATGACTTAATAAATTATTGATAGATGGCGCTCATTTAATTTTTTTTAATTCAAATAAACAGCAACATTTTTTTTGTTTGCTTTCAAAAATGTTCTGAAGTCTCAAATTAAAAATCCTGTTTTTTTTATGAATAACATTTTTAGAATGTTAGATATTAGAAAATAAAGTAAATTTTATATAAATTTTTAGTAGAATAATTTTTAGTTATAGTACCGTAATTTACAGGAAACTGTAAATTTAATTTCGTTGACGACACAAAGAAAAAAATTTTATTTTTAGCTTTATTCTAAAACAATAAGAAATAGACCTATATAACCCTATATTTTTGTAATCAGAAAAAACTAACGAATTTAATAAGCGAATAATCAGTTATTGTTTCCATTTCAAAAAACCAAAATTGTTATAATATCTAAAAATCTAAAACAGAAAAAATTTTTTTGGCTACGTCATCAAATTCTCTATAAAAAAGTGTCCTTATAATGTCTTAGTTATAATACTCCACCTATAATAATAACCAAGATAATTGTACTTGCTGGTTTTGCGATATTTTCAATTTTGGCCTCCAGGGGAAAAACAAAAGACGATAGCGCTTTGAGGTTTTCGGCATTAACAGTTTCTCGAAAAACGAGATCATGACATGTAAACTACTTTTTTTCTAACTCTTATAGTTTCGGAGATAGCCTATTCAGACATCGAATTTTAAAGGATTTTTAATGAAGATTACAAATATGTCAAAATTGAGGTTGAAATTTTAAACCTGAAGTTAGTTATCATATAATAAAAGTTTTATAACTGAAGTTAGGCTAGTGTTAGTCACTTTTCAACACATTCTTTTTATTTTTAACGTGTTTTTTGGGTCATTTCACATTGATTAAAAGAAAATCGTCGATTTTTATGCCATATGATGATTTTTGAATTTTTCCCAAGTTTCTTAATAATTTTTTTGTTAAAAAAGAGCGTTCTTAAAGTTTAACCTGTAAACTTGTAACAATTCGTCCTTAATTTCATTTTATAACTTTTTAAACTTTAATTTTGTAAATTAGTAACTAATAATTTGATTTCGACTTTGATATGTGATCTTTTTTAACAAAAGTAAAAGAAATATTAAGAAACTTGTTTGTAAAGTGGATAGGATGAGGCATGTTAATGTATTTGTAGAGTCTTTGGAGGTGGCCAAGGGCTGAAATTAGTTAGTCTTAAATTTTATATAAAATAAAAACCAGTTGAAAAGTACAAAATCAAACTCTAGACAATTTTCTTCAAAAATTTTTACACAAAACATCATTTTGACTCTAGTATTTGTGATTAAGTTTATGCCACGACTTACAGAAACACCTGTATATTAATTATAATTAATTAATTACAATTATTATAAAATAAAAATGTAAAAATTTTCGTGCGCCATCTTGTTGTTATTCTTTCAAGTTCATAATTCCAAATTTATCCGCTAGATTGCACTACATTTTACGTCATATAAAGAAATCTATCAAAAACCGGCATTAGTTTGGTTCTTATGTTGTATTTTTCACATCGATCCTACATTATTACAAAAAAAATAGACTAATTTATTAAATAATTGGTTTATTAGGTGATTTATAACATTAGTATCTAATGGCAGAGAGGTACGAATCGCCGGTTAGTGCACCAGGGCAGTATTCTACGGAGTACAAAAGAAAAAGTAGTTCTTCCAACAACAACTCTGAAGAAAAACCCGGGGAAGAATCAGCAAACCAACACGAAAAGTTAAATGAGTACATTCGAGATCTTCTCGCTGAAAAGCAACTCTTGGACGAGTTGAAAAGTCCGCATGCTTGTAGACTTATTGAACAAGGTATTTTTAATAATTCTCTCATGCTTTGTGATTGATTCTATAAAGATTGTTTCATTTTAGAGATACAAAAAGCTCAAACAACGGGGAAAATCCCTGGAAAAGATCAAAAATTCGTAGATATCTACAGAGAAAGACCAATGAAAGTGTCAGTGAAAGTATTAGTTCCAGTACGTGAACACCCAAAGTTTAATTTTGTGGGAAAACTATTAGGCCCAAAAGGCAACTCAATGAAACGTCTCCAAGAAGAAACCATGTGTAAAATGGCAGTTTTGGGTCGCGGTTCCATGAAAGATCGTCAAAAAGAAGAGGAATTGCGTCAATCCCTCGACCCAAAATACGCCCACTTAGGTGATGATCTCCACGTTGAAATCTCAGCTTTAGGTCCCCCAGCTGAAGCCCACGCTCGGGTGGCTTATGCTTTAGCAGAAGTCCGAAAATATCTCATCCCAGACAACAACGACAATATTAGACAAGAACAAATGCGAGAAATGGAAATTATGACATCAGATGATGGAGTTGAAACTCGTACGGAAGTGAGGAGACCTCCAGTCATGCGAAGTGAGTTTGCAAATTAATTCCAGCTTAAATCTGAAGAACCACCTAATTTTACAGGTCAAGGACCAACCCGACAACCAATTCCTCGCCCCCCAGTTCAAATGCGTACCGCTACAAGGGTTCCTGTTCCAACTCCAAGGGTGATGCCGGCAAAAACGAAGATTTTGTCAATTTTAGATAGGGCCAGGGTCGCCATGGAGGAAAGTTACGGTTACGAAGACACTTATGATCCTGCAGATCCTGGATACGATCATTATCCACCTTCTTCAGGTCATGGACGTTCTTATTCTACCGGGCATTCGTATGAGGCTGAATATGAAACTGATTATTATCGCGAAGCGAGTTCTTCGTATGGTAAGTTAAAAGTTATACAAACAAAAAGAGATTTGAAGAGGGGCTAAAAGAATATTTAAAACAAAAATGGTCCTAAAACTTAAAAATCTTGTGTATTTTTAATTATTTATTTCAATAGATTCTCCATAAAGTAAACTTTTAATTACTAACTTAAAAATAAAATTGACTTTTAATAAACGCATAAAATTAACACTTAAAAACATATTAAAGCTTTAATTTCCACTCAGGTTATTAATTAATAATGTAAACACAGTGAATTCCTGTTTAAAAAAAAAACACTTGTGGATTATAATTCATTATTTTATTGGGATATTTCTTTTTCACCAACAGCATAATTGGACCGCGTTATGCATCACTTGACTAAGCAACAAATGAATAATGTTGAGAAATTCATCTCTCTAAAAATATAAGACTTCTCAGAATAGACAGGCTCAAACTATTGAAAATTGTTTGGTGCCTCTCCATTTTTATCACAGAATGACAGCTGTCACAAGCACAGAGGGTATACAGGGTGTTTCTGTAAGTCGTGGCATAAATTTAATCACTAAAACTAGAGACCAAATGATGATTCGTGTAAAAATTTTTGAAGAAAATAATCTAGAGTTTGATTTTGTACTTTTAAACTGGTTTTTATTTGATATAGAATTTAAGTCTAACCAGTTTCGGCCCTTGGCCATCTTCAGAGACTCTACAAATAGATTAACATCTCTCATCTTATCTATTTTACAAATTAGTTTCTTAATATTTCTTTTTGTTTTGTTAACACTTTGTGTCCCGACGCACAGTGGTCCGAAAACACTCAAAACCCGATCGAAAATCAATTAAAAAAAAATTTTTATAGTGTTGTTTTTTTAAATGTTACATATACTTTAACTATTAATAGACTCTTAGTGAAGTTTATGAAGTCTTTGATGTTTTATAATAGCTACTGCGCGAAATAAATTGCTATTACAATTACCTTATTTTGTATAAGGAAATTTTTTAGAAAACGACACAACTTTAGAAAACAAAAAAGATGGTATATCACTACTTGAAAATATTGTGTCGTTGGTTTCTTATAAAGTACAGAAAGGTCTTCAGTTTACGCCTTTCCAAATTTCAAAAGATGTTTGTTGAAAAAAATTACAACCATTTCTATTGACGTCAATAAATACATATATTTTTTGACCATTCAATCTTTTAGATTAAATATCTTGCGAGCGAACAAAATCGAACAATTGTAGCTAACATTTTTTTATTGCTGAAGATATGGTGTACATAGCATAAGAAAGAAATCTTGCGCCAACGTGCGCCTTAACCAAAAAATTGGCAGTCAAAGATTACTTAACACATAATTGTGGATCTTATTTATCAAGAAGCAAAAAACAAACAAGTACAGTGAGCGCTCACTTAACGTACACAATGCGTTCCTGAGTTTCCGTACGTATAACGAATGTACGTTAAACGAACACGAAATATCCATAAGAATACGTATATTTATGTTTAATTGGTTCCAAGATGATCTTTGTTCGCACGAACGTACAAACTTGTTCGTACGAACGTACACTTACGGCCGACTCGGGACTTTCCTACTTTGCTCGTTACACTACTGACACTACTCTATTTTACCACATTTTGCATAAGGGATTTACCGAAAGAGACCGGACGAAAAAATATCTTTGTGAATTCAATTGATACACGTCCTGAGTTCGCTTCAGATCGTTTCAGACATCGTCCGCGTCAATACATTTCGATCAAACGAGATTTTAGAAATAAAAAGTTGAAACTGAATAAAAGGAAAGGTAACCGCGAGATAGAACAAGGTTCGAAAAGAAGAAAACCGATTACTTTTGCTGAAAAACTGAAAATTATTGAAATGGCAGAGAAGGGTGAAAAACTAGCGGAAATAGGAAGACGTTTAGGATACAGTACATCAACAGTTAACACAATAGTAAAATCAAAAGAATGTTTGAAGTGTTATGTTAAAGATGGGGTAAATCTTCAACAAACTTCAGGTACTCGTATACGTTCTAATGTGATGGAAGAAATGGAGGGGACTTTGAAAGTTTGGTTAGACTCTCAATTACACAGAAATATTCCTTTAAGTCTTTCTGCTATCCAACAAAAAGCTAAGCAAATTTATTCAGAATTAAGAAAAAAATGGATGAGAACGCAACTGATACGTTTAATGCAAGTTGGGGATGGTTTAGAAGATTTAAAATCAGGGCCAACTTAATTAAAGTGAAATTGACAGGAGAAGCAGCGAGTGCAGACTCTAACGCTGCTAGTGAATTTATAGCAACACTAAAAGCTATTGTCCATGATGGAAATTACAGTCCACATCAAATCTTTAATGTTGACGAAACGGGATTGTTTTGGAAGAAGATGCCTTCCAACACATATATCACTAAAGATGAGAAACGTATGCCGGGATATAAAGCTGCCAAAGATCGTCTAACGTTATTAGTAGGTGGAAACGCGGCAGGTGATTTTAAATTGAAGCCAATATTGGTTTACCATAGTGAAAATCCGAGAGCGCTTAAAGGTGCATCAAAGTCATCAATGCCAGTGATTTGGAAATCAAATCGTAAAGCTTGGGTCACGAAATCTGTATTTGAAGATTGATATAGAAACAACTTTATTCCAGAAGTGAAAGATTACTGCTCTAAAAATAACTTAGCGTTTAAAGCATTACTACTTCTTGATAATGCCCCAGGGCATCCAATAACGTTAAATGAGTTATGTCCCAATATAAAGGTAATATTTTTGCCACCAAATACGACATCATTAATCCAACCGATGGACCAAACCGTTATAGCCGCGTTTAAGAAATATTATTTACGTGCAACTATGGTAAGCATGATTAAAGCTATTGATGATAATAAGGAATTAACGGTTAAGTCTTATTGGAAAGATTACAATATTCATAATGGAATTAAAAATATATCTGCCTCTTGGGATGAAGTTAAAGAAACGACAATGAAAAGAGCGTGGAAAAAGTTGTGCCCGCAATTTGTTTATGACGAAGAAACAAATGTTGAAAATCTTCAAAACGAAGTTGTAGAAGGCGTGATAGAAATTGGAACGCGCTTAGGCTTGGAAATAAACGAAGAAGATATCGAAGAGTTAATAGAATCACATGACGAAGAGTTGTCTATCGAAGATCTCATGGAATTACAAAAGACAGATAATGTCGAAACGAATGACGATGACGCCGTTGAAGACCTGCCCAAAGAAAATGTATTAAACTTAGAAACTTTAAGTGAAATTTTAAATAAAATGGAAAATCTCGCCGATGTCATAGAGAATGTAGACCCAAATATGGAACGAAGTTCTAATGTTGTAGGTATACTCCGTGATGCGTTTACTTGTTACAAAACCATGTACATAGAGAAAAAGAAGACTGGCCTTAGGCAATTAACCTTAAAACAATTTTTAACTAAAAAAACTTAAGAATCGATAAGTTAATAATCGTTTATTTATTAAGTTATTTATGCTATCTTTACTTGTACCGACTTTT